TTTTTTTTTTAGGGGAAGATAATACTCAGCATACCTTAGGCAAAAGAGATACTAAATACATTTTAAGGAAAACAGAGGAGAAACCTAGCTTCCGTGTTTGGATCGGATATTCTGCCCAGACTTCCTGATTACTGTCCGTGTTAGAGTTTTCGTGGTGAAGGTCGTCATCTTCGCTCGTTTTGCTCCAGCTCGCTGCACTTAAGGAGGTAAACTCCGTTTCAATTCCAACTCTTTTGTGGATGTGCTGTTTTTGGCAAATTGTGATTGTTTGATTGATTTGTTAGCTTTTCTCTCTTTCTTGACTGCCCTCATTCTCCTCGATTCTTTATTGATTATGTAGTAGCCAAATGATTAGGTGGGAGTGGGCGTTTTGGTTGTATGAAATGTAAAATGTGCTCTTATGAATGTCGTTGTTTGTATGAGTTTAGTTGGCCAGTATGTTAAAGGGCATTTCTTCAGTCCAATGAAATCTCTAGCATATTTGTGATATTGCTTTCGTTTAATGTCTGGCTCAACAGTTTCTACGTGTTCATTTTAAGATTATTTCCACTATCCTTCACTTCGAGCTTATTCGTCGAATGTCATTGAATACTCATGTTCGTGTTCTCATAGTCTGTTAGCATGTGAAGTTCCTCTTTTGCTGCTGTCTTTTTATTTCTCTCTTCCCAAAATAAAGGCAGAATCTCGGATTTAACTGATATCGAGCTTGTATCTCGCCTGTCCTCTGCTTGATATCTTTATAGTTGGCTATGTCGCTTTCCATTGCTCTTATTTCGCTTTCGTGTTAAATGCTGAAAATCTGACTTGGCCATTCAAGATGTGTGACTATAACTTTGATAGAATGTGGTAATTCGTCTTGAGACTTTGTTTTAGCGTCTTATGTTGTTTTGGGACTGCTGTTCGGTATTGTTATCCTCCAAGGACGGTATTTTTCTCTTTGCCTATTTATGCTTATAAGCATGTTAAGTTGAGTAAAGATGTTTATCATGTTAAGTTGAGTAAAGATGTTTATCATGTTTTAGTTGTTTGAATGTAATAATAGTTCTCTCCAAAATGATTTACCACCTTTTAATAACATTCTGTCGTTTAGCTTGATAAACTAGCAATATTAGGTTCCATTGGTAGAGTTAAATATTGACTATAGCATGAGGTGTATTACTTATTGATTATGTGGCATGATTTTTCCATTGACATTTGGAGATTTATTTCTCATAGGTATATGCAGGTTATTGCTAAGTATTCTAGCACTGTTTGTTAGCTTATTTATTTCTTTTGTCATTCATCAAATTAATTTAGTTTTTGTCTTTCTCAAAGTCACATGATACTTGGGTTCAATAGTTGGGTTCGTTTGTTTTTTTTTTTCTTTCTTTATTTTTGGTTGGTTTTTCATTTCAAATTGATCTGTGTTCGTTTTAAGTTGTGTCTCATTAGTTTTATCATTTCGAATGCTAATTCTTGTCTTTTCGTTTTGTTGTATGAACTCCTTTGAGTTCATGACGGATTTCTTTCCCTTGCATTCCTGAATTGAGCCATAGAGGCTCAAATCTCCTTTCGTTATCGAGTCAGCCAGACTGTCAATTGCACAGAGAAGAATAATGTGAAAGCAGCAAGATAAATGCTGAAAATTAAATTTTCAAGCTCCGAAAAAGTCGAAAACAAGCTGATATACCCTTTGTATACACTGATATACAGTCGGAAAATACAGAATACAGGTCCAAAACGTGAAAACACAGGTGAAAAGTGCAGAAATACGAAATCCAAATGAAATTACAGGTCCGGGAGTTCGAGAATTAGCGGTACACATGGTGTATACCTCGAATATACACTTTGTGTATACCATGATCAAGGAAGAGGGGAAAAGGGCCAAAGCCCAATGAATTATTACTTCATTTTTTTTGCATATTTGGAAATTTGGGCAAAAGCCCAAATTCAATATATTCCTCTTAAGTTATTTGTTTATCTATTTGTTGATTGACTAACGTTTTATTTATTTTTATGGTTGAATTTAATTAAATTTTCGAAGATAGCCATTTCTCCCTTTTTTATCTATATCTATATATATATGTATATATATATATATATATATATATATCCGAATTAAACTATTTCATACTTAGCTCTGTTTTTCTTATTAGTCTCGTCACTTGAAATTACTTCCCTTTAGGATAAACCCTCTTTAGTTTATTTCCCTTTAAAAAATAAAATAAATAATAATAAATAATACTAGATTTTTTTTTATATATTTATGTTCCATGCTTAGTTTCATTTTTATTAGTCCCGTCAACACTTGAGGTTTTCCCTTTAAAAGTTTTCTTTTAGTTATTCCCCTTGATAAAAAATAATAATAGTAATAAATAAATAAGTTCTTTTACTTAGTTAAAATTTCAAAAATTAGTAATAAATAAATAAGTTTTTTTTACTTACTTAGTTAAAATTTCAAAAATTAGTTAAAATAAATGAATTATTTTACTTAGTTAAAATTTCAAAATTAATCAAATTCATGATGAGTTCTTTTACTTATTTAAAATTTTAAAATTAGTCAAAAATCATTTTTTAGTCAAATCGCCGGTCAACCGCAAGTTAGCGGGCATTCTGAGGGCCTAACACCTCTCGGAATGTACATTGAACTTCGAACCCTGTCATTTTCAATTGATTTTATCTGTTTAAGTCTTTTGAAAATCTTGTATTTTTTCTTGATTTTTTACTATAAATTAAGTGGCGACTCTGTTCTTTTAAAATTCAATTTCTCTTAAATCATAAGTTTAATCGATTTTTCGAAAACTCAGTCATTTTTCTTGTATATATCTTTTTAAGTAAAACACACCTTAAATTTCATTTCCCCTCTCACCCCCCCCCCCCCCCCACCACCACGTTAGCTGACCGCCTGACCCATACTTCTTATTGACTAGTTGACTTCCAAATACTCCTGTCGTCCATTTTTGAATTCAATATTGACCACTTTTTTGATGGATTGCCAATTATATAATTTAAATATTTTTTAAAAATATGTGACGACCATCTATTAGTTAGAATTTAATTACTTAATCTAATTTACAAACGCACCTAATACCCACCCACCTATTACTAATTAAATCCCAAATTTCAATTATCCACCGATGGGATACAAACACTTAGAAGCATAGTTAAAGTGTATTTGTGAAAAATCGGAACAACTTCAGGTGTCACTTTATGTCTTTTCTCTTATATATATTACAAAGAACAATTATATAACACATATAATATAAGTTTTACGGATGAATAATATATTTATCACACATTTTAATACACTTATAATACATTGTGTCAGTTTTTTTTACCAAATAAGCATAATATATTTTAAAAAATACTTATTATACATTTATATTGCATCCATAATTCACTTTTAATACTTAATACAAATTTATCATAATATTGCAATATATAATAATAGATAAAAAAAACATTGCTAAAATCAATAGTTCTTTATTAAAAAGTACTTATCCAAGTACTTTTTTCATCTTATAAATACATACCAAATTAAAGAGGTTCTTCTTTCTGGTTGCTCTGCTTCTTCTTCTTCCTTTCAATTTCACTATTAATGATTGCTCTTCTTTTTCTTCCTTTTGATTTCGCCATTAATGGATTTTCTGTTTCTTCTTTCTCCTTTCAATTTCGTCATTAATGAATGTTATTTTTTTTTATTTCTCACCCGGTGTCCGATACCCACATTGGAGCCCGAATAAATTTGAATTCGCGTCGGGAAGTCCCACATAAAGCGCTCAAGGCGACTCCGTACCCAAGGGGCTCAAACTCGAGACCTCTTGCTTAAGGATGAAGGAGGACTTCCACCACAATCATTGTTGGTCATTAATGAATAACATTAATGAATGTTATTGCTTCTTCTTTTTCATTTCAATTTTGCCATTAATGATTGTTGCTGCTGCTGCTTCTTCTTCATTCTTTTTCTTCTCCTTCGTCTTTTTTTAAAAAAATAAAATCAAATAAAATTCAACATATTGAAAATTTGAATCCTTTCGAGCGAATTACATATCAAAAGACTCGAAACATCAAGTGGATTTCATATCTAAATTTTAAGATTGTTTAGAGGCGATTTTGAGTTGATGGAGATTAAATTCATCAGTGTATACTTCATGTGTAGTCAATATATATTTCATATATAATTAAGTTATATTCAGCTTTTTGAGTGTATCATGATGTATATATTGTATAATTAGTGTATATTTCTATAACTTTTGACTAATTTTTAGGTAAATATTTTTATTATTAACTAATTACTTTATTATATATCCATATTTAAAATAATCCCAAAAATAATGTTTTATCATAATCATGTTTAAACTAAATTCTGGAATGATATATTTCCTTACGGAGAAAACAGTTTAGTAATGTAGAATTGGATATAAAATAAATGAAGAAAAATTGGGGAAAGCTACCTATCATATCAACGGCTCACATCAAATTAAACGACTTTAATTTATCGTATTAAAAAAAATATATATATCACCTAATAATAATATATGCTTGCAATTATTGATTTTAATATATTTATTTATAAAGATACGTTAAGCTTTTAAAATAATAGTTGTCGTCGTCTCCGTTAGAAAGTGTTTTGTCCGATAATAACAATTTAACCTAGTTATTGTCATCGTTTTTGTTAGAAAATGTTTTATATCCAGTAAAGTTTAATAGACTCCCAGTTCAATTAAAACATACCAATAATGACGGTTAGATTTTACATTATTATAATAACGGTTGTCATTGTCGTCTCTGTTAGAAAGTGTTTTATACCCAATAAAATCTAATAGACTCTCAATTCAAATAAAACATATTAATAATGACGATTACATTCTACCTGATAATAATAATAATAATAACATATCCAATAAAGCTTATAAAACATACCATAATAATAACAACGATAACATATTCACTCTCTGTAAAATCTATAGATACCAGATAGAAAACTAAAATAACAAAGCTTGTAGTTTGTTTAGAGTACTTAATTTCAGGCTCTACGGTTAAAAAGTTAGTCGTTGGATGTAACTTGTACTCTCCTGATAGAAGTTAAATCCTTTTAACCCTACATCTTTTACTGCGCCATTCACATTCACATCCACCTCCATTCTTTGCTGTGGAAACTCAGGTATGTTTTTGCTAATTCTGCAATTTTTCTTTTTCTCTTTCCATAGTTCTTGCTAGAATTAGATAGAATTTCATGAATTGGTTTATGCAACAAATTTCAATCTTTTTGGCCAAAAAAGCAAATTGAATTGTTGTAGAGACGAAAAATTGGTTTAATTTTGACTTTCTCTTATTTGAATGACTAATTTGTTTTTTTGGGGTTTAATTCTGATGATTTTTGCTGGGTTTTTGTGTTATTGAAATAGAGATGGAACTGGGCAATGCAGACCAGGAAGAGTTGGAGAAAACAGTTTTTTTTACACCACTAACGCCCTTCAAGTGCATGCCAGCAGCAACAGAATTTAACTCTGGCTTGAACAATTTTTGGTCCACAAATAGTTCATGTAAGTTATATACATTGACAGTGTAAATATTTTTACTATTTGACCTGTTACAACTGTTGTAGTTATCGTTTTTATCAGGTTATCAATGGATGGTTATCTTCGAAACTGACCTATAAATTGTAACCTAATTGTGTAAATATTCTTTTATATGGTCAATGCATAAGTTAATTTTAATATCATGGTTTCAGTATGATGGATTTTTCATGTTTTATTGGCGTTTTTAGTAATTTCATGCAATTAACAATGAAGTAATTTGTTGAGCAGTCCTGTAAAATTCCATCTAATGTTTGTTAAGTACGTGCAGTATCTAGTGTAGCAACACTAAGGAGTAGTTTTTCAGATTCAAAAGAATTTAGTTGAGCTTAGTGATCATAGTTGAATATGAGTAATAACTGTAGCAATTACTACAATTGAACCTAATCCAAAATAAAGCTATGAAGTGAGAAAGGGAGGAAATCAGTAAGAATAAGGAATAACATTTCAACCAAGTCACGCATTTACGATGCTCAGTCTAACAGAATAAGTAAAAGCATAACGGTGAACTATCTAACAGGAGTGATACTGCAAATAACAATGGAATCTCTGTAAAGATAATACTGCCGAACCTCATGGTACCATTTACTACAATAACCACTGGAAGAGTAGTATTGCAATGGTAGAACTAACGGTAATGCTGCACTTGGTTGCTTGATTTTACTTACTTGAGCATTAATTAAATAATGCTACTCGTGCCTTCCTTCTTGATCATTTTCTTTTCCCCCTGTATTTCTAATATTGGAATCACGAACTAACCATATCTGATGTACTTACAAAATAATTGACGTAATTAGACACCAACTAAACCACTAACAATTTTCTAATGTCCAGATCTGCATTAAATTCAAGTCCACTTAACTTCTTACAAACATTTTTGCAGATAACAGCCAAAAAAAGGATGAGGAGGTTTCTGGTGTTATCGGAGGGAGGAGCGAGTTTCTAAGTCGACATTTGGATGGTGGTTCTAAATCTGCGACGATGGCTCCTTCAACTCCTATGACGAAGGGTGACAACCCACGGAAGAAACAATGTGGTAGCGTAGACATGAATGAAAGACCACTGAAGAAACCAAGAATGAGAAAACATACACCCAAAATCTTTGATGAAAGTAAGCCCAAAAAAACTCCAAAGCCTAAGATAAGGCCTTCAATTCCAAAATCAGGTAAATCTAAGGCAAGTGCCAAGACAAAGAAGAAAATAGAAAAGGACTGCGACAAAGTTTCAGATGATTTATCAGGAGATGCTTATATGCAAACACCTAATAGTAAGATTCCAGAAACTATTCCCGGATCTCTGGTCCTACAGGTTTCAACTCCTCAACTAGAAATTCTTGAGCATGCTATCCCAGCAATAAGTCCACCTGATCTTGAGCACGATATTCTTACAGATCTTGGACATGTTTTGAAGTCATGTAAACGATCTCTCCCTTTCAACTTGGAAAATGAGGATGATGTTTTATCCATAGGAGCAGCAGAAGTGATTAGAAACCATGTAACTCAAAGTTACAACAAATTCTTGACAAATCCATTGGACGGTTTTAATGAGCAGGCAGTTGATACAAATTGCTCCATTGGCTTAGAAGATAATTTAGAGGCAGAGTCCCAACCCAACCAAGGTAACCAACTTTCATTTGCATTTAATGTCTTCTTCTTTTCCTTTTTTTTGCTGAAAATCTTTTAATTCTCAAAGAATTTTTGGAATTTATCTTTCTATTCAGAAAATTAACATTGGCACCATATCTGTGACAGGAAATGATCCTAGTATCTACCAGGATGACCAGAGAGCCTGTCAGCATCATTTTCTGAAAGTTTATGTAAGGAGGAAAACTCAAATAGATTTGATGCCCTTGGCAGGAAATGAAGCTCACGTCTACCAGAACAATCATGGAACAATCAGCCCAAGTAGTTGTCGGGATCATTCTGTGAAAGTTTATAAAAGGAGGACAAAAGGAAACATCGGTGCCATGCCTTTGGCAGGAAATGAAAGGACCTCCCAGAATGACCATAAATCCCAAGAAAAAGGTGGTTCTCGGCTTGATTTTCTGGAAAATTACAGGACATCAAATAACATCGGTACTGCTGATTATGCAGACAAAGGCTGGAATGCATTGGGTACTAATACAAAGAGCAAAGTGACTTCAAAGAGCTCTTTTACAATTTGCAAGAGGGTTACCAGGAGAGATTTTGAAATTGTCAATGGTGCTAAACATACATGTTTTTCAAGTATGAAATCGGGCCAGAAAGGAAAATTTAAATCACATTTTGTTGTAAAGGTCCTACCTAACAAAAATCAAATTGCAGCTGCAATGGCTGATCCAGAATCTTTTGAGTGTGTGTTCAGCTTGTCCCCTATGGTTAAGTCTCGGAGGAGGAGATTAATCCATCCTAAGAGGACCAAGTCTGCTCACAGGGAAGAAAATACAGAACTAGAACCATTAACTTTGTCTGCTCGCAGGGAAGAAAATACAGAACTAGGACCAAGTCTGCCCATGAACGCCTTGACTTTGTCTCCACTAGTCACGTCCAAAAGAAAGAGATCTAAGAATTGCAAAAGATCAACTGCTATTCTAGATCCTCTCTGCCTTAAGTCAAATATAAGTGCAATCAATGGATTTGAATCTTTTGTAGATAAGTGGTCTCAAATAAGTGCTTGCAATGAAATTCAGGAATGCTCGCAACATGAAGGTTTGTGGCCCCAAACAGATAAATCAGCTTGTGATGATATTGAAGAGTGCCCCCAACATGAAGATTTATTGCCTAGAACAACTAAATCAACTTGCAGTGAAATTCAGGAATACACACAACATGAGAATCTGCGGCCTAAAACAAAGCGTAATCTACTTGAGACATGCATTTTATCCTTTTTGTACTTATCATAATGTTTGTACTATATAACCTTGAATGAAATTTTGCAGGTTCAACAAAGATAACCACAGTTGCAGGACTTATTCGGATTTTTAAAAAAATAAAAATTTGTGATACGAGAACTTATAAAAAGAAAACAACAACCCATAAGAAAATAACCAGCAACAATGATGGCCAGCTTGTCTTGCGGAATCCTGATGGTTCAATGATTGTTCAAAAGCACAAAGCCAAAGAACTGCCCAAGGTTGATCTTGATAAGGAGTCAGAGCGAGTGTGGGAACAACTCATAGAAAATGGTGGAATTGATGAGGACCCGGATGAAAAGAAGAATATATGGTGGAAGGAGCAAAGAGAAGTATTTAAAGGAAGGGCAGCCTCATTCATTGCCCGCATGCGTCTTGTCTTAGGTACAACTCAAGCATTTCTCTTTTAAAAGTAATTCAATACTTCTATTCTTATGCTAAAAATTTACAGGGAAAAGGACTTTTTCCCCATGGAAAGGGTCAGTGGTAGACTCTGTGGTTGGCGTTTACCTAACACAAAACGTGTCAGATTATCTTTCGAGGTAAACTTTATTGTGTTATATCCTCATTTTTTTCTCATTCGGTAGAGTGTAAACAATCTTGTTGTATCCCTATGCAGCAATGCCTTCATGCTTCTTGCTTCAGCGTTCCCACTTCAAAATAGTCAAGAAATGACTACACAACAAGAACAAGCTCTAGCGATTACACATGTACTGCCAGATTCAGATGAAATTTTTGTTAATACATATGAATCATCTTCTAGAAATACATCAGAATGTATGCAAGAAGAAATTATTGGAAATGAAAGTACATGTGGAAGTCAGTCTTCAGCCAATTCTGGCCCAGAAGTGATAACCTTTGCTAAGAGTTGCGATTTAGTAAATGAAACAGGTAATTTACCCGACGAGATGTCGAGAGAGAAAAATAAATTGCCAAAAAGAGAAATTGATTGGGATAGATTGAGGAAAGCCTATTCTACTGGAACATATACTGGTTCCACCGAAAGTAATAGGGATTCTGTTAATTGGGAAGCTGTTAGACATGCTGATGTTAAAATGATTTTTGAACCAATAAAATGTCGAGGACAGGGTAATGTTCTTGCTGCAAAAATTAAGGTACACTGGTTTGACTTCTCTCATTTTATTTACGATTTTACTTATGATGTACCATAGAGTTGATTGATTGATCTCTTTACCTTGCCCAGAAAAGAAACATAAGCAAAAAGAAAGATGTTACATTAATATGTCTACAATAATTGATAAAAATATTATATACCATTATCCCTAATAGTTTTTGCTTTTTGTTTCCCTATTTTAATTCTTTTGAAAATAAAAACAAAAATAACAACGAACAATTAAAATTTGAAAAGAAAAATTACTACATTCCTAATGTCATAATGTATAAAGAAATAATAAAATTTCTAAATATCAGTTGTAACTTTGTAATAATAAGAGGACTCTTGCTGAACAAATAAAATTAATTATAACTTCAGATTTTAAAATAAAATTTGATAATATTGAAAAAAAAGTTAGTGCATTCCTGTGTCACATTATAAAAGAAAATTATAATTTTTTTAAAGACTTGAAAATGGTATGTAATTTTATATAATATACAAAAAAAACTGATCATAAATAAAGTTTTTCCATTTTTTAGTTTTAGTTTAGGTTGTCAAAATTCTCATTAATTAGTACATAAACCTACCACGTTTTATTTTTTCTTGTTCCCATACATGTTTTTATTTTGTTTTCTATTTATGACGGTGTTATATACTATTTTAAACTCAACTTTTCTAAATCAATTATTTTCTTTTGTCTATGAAAAGAAATATTGAATGACTGAATCCTTAAAAGAATAACTTTATAGCTTTGCATCCAAAGAAATTAAAAGAGTGAATTTCAAATAAAACACATGAATTTTATTAAAGATATTTGTGATTTATTATTATGTTTTGGTAGAGGCCATTGATTGTATTGAGCCCTAGATCCAATATTTGAAATGTATAGGTTCCTATAATAACCTGAACTAGGTAATATAATAATTCTAGGTTCAAATTCAAATATTTATGGATATATAATATATTTCTTAATATGTAATGAGTGTGTACCATATTGGGAGTAAGGTCTCTTAACCAATTAGTTGGCGCACTTTGCAGAATTTTCTTAATCAATCGTTTGAACATCATGGAAGCGTTGACCTTGAGTGGTTAAGAGATGTCCCGAAGGAGGATGTGAAGTAAGAATATAAATTATTTAGTCAAAGTTATGGTCATCATGATATTTAAAAGCTAAGATATCATAGAGCATTCTCTTATTGCGTTGCTTCTGTTCAGAGAATATTTGTTGAGTATTCCTGGGCTTGGGCCGAAGAGCACGGATTGCATTAGACTTTTGTCACTTCGACATCATTCCTTTCCTGTAAGTTTTCAGCATATAGTGGTTATCCACTTTCGTTGGGCCTTTGGAATCTCGACATACTGGATTTTTCTTATTTAACTATACTTTTGGTTGAAGGTTGACATAAATGTTGCTCGGATAGTAGTACGTCTAGGATGGGTCCCTTTGCAACCATTACCTGATGGGCTCCAAATGCATCTTTTGGAAAAGTATGTATTGAATAAATTCTATTTAGTGTTACTATGTTCGATCTAATATATATTAAGTGTTGATTTTATTTTCAATTAGGTTCCCCCTGGAGAGTTCCATACAAAAGTACCTTTGGCCACGTCTATGCGAACTTGATATGTCAACACTGTAAGCATTTCCATTTTCTCTAGAGCTTTCTTGTTCAATGGATTTGTTGTAACCTTTGATCCGAAGTAACTGAAAAATTGTTCTGGAAATTCTTCTGCTCATTAAGTTGGTATGCTTGGCAGATATGAATTGCATTATCACATGATCACATTCGGAAAGGTCAGATTTGCACTCAATAGTCAATGATACCATAATTTGATTAGTTTTATTATAACCATAAGAATTTTCTTCAATATCATACAGGTCTTCTGTACAAAGAAAAAGCCAAACTGTGATGCCTGCCCAATGAGAGCCGAATGCAGGCACTTTGCTAGTGCATTTGCAAGGTTTGCATCAGATTACTGCTCATAAAAATAAAATAATATATATTTTTTCAATTAAATTGATATCTAGGCCTCACAATAATCTGTTTATTGTATGAAATATCTGACATTCCCATAAGACGCTTGATTTTTTCGACATTGAATACTCAATATTCCAAGAAAAAGACAAATTCAGCCTTGTGCATTACAATATTTATAAATTTTGCAATATGCAGTACTAGGCTTCGCCTCCCAGGATCACAACAGAAAGGAGAGGCTGACTCTAAGCAACCTGATAGAGTTGATGACGTCCCAAACATGTGTGTGTCGTTACCAAATTTGCCCCATTCTAGCGAAAGCTTCTCGCAGTCCAGCTTCCAGACTCAACAGTGTGAGCCTATCATAGAAATGCCAGAATCTCCAGAGCACAGACCTCTAGAATTACAGGAACAAGACATTGAAGACTTCTCTTATGAGGCGGAGCATGAGCAGGAGATTCCTACCATCAAACTCAACACTAAAGCGTTTGGAGAAAATATTTTGAACTTCATTGACAAGTCCAATAAAGACTTCAAAGAAATTGTGTTGAGCTTTGTTGATGAGATCAGTAAATTGCATAGTGATGAAGAAGTGTCCAAAGCCTTGGTTCTTTTGAATCCAAAATCTGCTGCACATCCTGCTCGTAAACTGAAGACGGAGACCCGACTTAGGACTGAGCACTTAGTGTAAGTAATAGTAATACTTAATCCGTCTTTCTGTGTACATCAAATATCTCAAGTTACTGAATTATATGCTTATACATAAGTAAATAGTATGACCCACATGTATATTGAACCCACACAATTGGTCTATTGCAGGTATGAGCTTCCAGATGATCATCCTCTTTTGAGTGGGGTAATCTCTTATACATCCTATTCTATCAAATTTTCTTCAATGCAACTATATTCATTAATGTTTATTACTTTACAGTTTGAGAAACGGGAGCCTGATGACGATTGCCCTTACCTTCTTGCCATCAGCCAAACAGGTAAAAAAAGTATTTGTCATTTGTGGATGCTTAGTATAAATGTTTCTATAAAAATTCTCTTTTAATAATGTTTCTGGCCATACACAGTTTGAACTAACAATTATTTTGTAACTTCAGAGAACTGCTCGGACAGTACAAATTACTCCCCAAATGATCAAATAATCTATGGCACGATTTTGGTAAGTGAATCATGAGAGTTTCATTTCATGTTGTTTCCTAAGAGATTCTTTATTTGGATAGATACATATAACCATGAATTTACAGATTCCGTGTCGAACGGCAAATAGGGGAAGCTTTCCACTGAATGGGACTTATTTCCAGATCAACGAGGTAATCAGATCATGTGATTGTCTCCCCATAAAGTAGTCTGGGTAACTAGTTTGTTGTGTTACAGTCATCTCACAAATTAAAATTTTTGTATACCAGGTTTTCGCTGATCATGAGTCGAGCCTAAATCCAATTCCTGTTGCAAGGGCCTCCATATGGAATTTGAGTGTGACAACTTTATATTGCGGAACTTCAGTTTCGTCCATTGTTAAAGGTAAAAATCATATTGTTGCTTGTTATATTTTACTTTGATATAATAATGTTTTATCAGATTTGACTTCATATATACTGATATTACTCATAATATCAAACCAGGCTTGTCAACAAAGGACATTCAGAATTGTTTCTGGAAAGGTATGGATAGTCTCTTTTGTAATATACAAAATTGAAAGAAAATATTTTCATTTTATGAGATTTTATACCTTCACATATCTTTTTTCTTAGGAATGTCTATACCTTTCATATTCTGAACTTAATATACTAGATTAGGAGTGTCAAATGAACGGGTTGGGTTGAAATTGGAGATATTAAAATGGGTTGAAATACAAAATTGGTTTGGTTCCTAACCCGCTCAAATGGGCTTAAAAATGGGTTGGGTCTTGACCCGTCCAATTTGACCCGCTAAATCTCAATAATTTTAATATATTCTTATTTAAGTTTTATAACCACAATTTGAATTTCAACTCATGAAAATTTTAAAAAAGAAGTTACACATAGATAGATAAATTCTAAAAGATATAAAATAGATAGGAATTCATACATCCAATATAAGAACATACATTACATCAATGCAAATAAAGAGTCTTAAAACGGGTTGAAATTGGAGATTAAATTGGGCTCAATTACGGATTCTTTTAAATGGGCTAAGGCTTGAATGAATTGAGATTGAACCAAATTCAAATTATCTTGAGCTCAACCCTTAAAATTCTGGGTGGGTTACCTATAATTGGGCTCATTTTTTACACCTCTAATACTAGATAGAACTATGAAGAATGGTCAGAAGTCTAGTGAAAAAAATGAAAGTAAGTCTTGGCTAAAACAGATTGCACATTATATATGATCAACAACAAACCTAGTGTAGGATGTACGTTAATCTTACCCCCTACCTTTGCACACTCTACAAACTGTTCGAATTGAAGGTGTCATACGGAATCTAGCAAAGGAAATCCTAAACTATGATAAAATCAGAAACAAAAGAGAAATATATCATTAGATAATATTATAAAGTGGTTTGGTCAGCTTATCTACATCCATATGAAAGGAGATGAACAATTGAATAAAAGACTACAAAAATATCGAAAGAATAAGTACTCCCCAAAACATGACTCTCTAACCCTAAAGGCCTACATTGTGGCTCCCCTGGAACATGACTCTATACCCCTAAAGAACTATATGGGGGATATTGTAAAGTGAAAAGAAAGATCCTCAAATTCAAGGTCTTATCCTTCAAGATAAGGATTAGTCAATTACGTTAAATGTTTTGTGCTTCTTTCCATATAAAGAAAATTCATATAAGATAAGAAAATAATGGCAAACCTTAACACGAACTAGGTGATGGAAATGTTGGAACTAGTACAATATCATGTGTTTTGGTGTAAACTTAGGGCCAAGTATTATTACTCCAATGACCATGAAAAGGCATTTTCGTAGGCATTTTAGTTTTGTTCACCTTTAGTGTTGGATTTGATGATGTTAATGTTTCATAAAAAGGTCAAGTCAAATATCACAACCGTAATTCACAGTTGCATTTTATGTGTATAGATGGATAAATGTGACAAGAAATATTTTCCTTGCTGAAGAAAAAAATTACTCCTAGTCTTTATGAATATTCACTTTAATTCTCCTTACAGGTTTCATGGTGGTAAGGGGATATGACAGAAAACAGAGGGCTCCCAGACCCCTTCATGTTCGATTTCATACAAAAGGAAATATAGTAAACTTTGATGATGATAATTAGTGCCAGAATTGCCATCGATGCAAAATTCATCATAGTTGTTCATAATTTTTTCATTCTTTAACTAATTAGATTACAAGACAGGGTTTTCTTGTTGTAATTGTTCGAATCATTGTTCATTTGGTTAATAGTCTAATTTCATGAATGAGATTTACCCTGTCAAGTCACAGCTGTTTGTATAGTCGCATATTCATTGTTTGTTCAAGTAGGCCATAGGTGCCTAAAATTTTGAGTGATCGAATGCGTACTTCCTATTGATTTCCATTTTAGTATTGGAAGTTCAAAGTAATTTTGCAAGACATAGGTTTAGTGATTAAGGTTGCAACTAGTGTTTTCATAAATGTTTTTTGGGGCGAGTACATCTATAGGAGTAAGTCCTAGAATTTGGGGCGTAAGCTCCTAGCATAAAAATGTACGCCTTGGAGTCCATTAGTTTCTACAAGAAGCACCTTTTAAACTCACGTAGGTGGAGTTTAGTTAGATCAAACATATGGATAGTAACATTTACATTATGCAATTTGACTCTTAGAAGTCAAAAACCTTAGTTATTGAGTTGCTATAATATAAGTAGTAGCTAAATGAAGCAGATTGATCTCAACTCGCTTGAGATTGACAATTCTCTTAATTTACATTGACAATCTTAAATCTGAGAAAAAAACTAAAGATGTGTACGGCTGTGATTTCTTAATACAAATTTAAATTAATCGATATCGGGGTAAATTGGCGGAAAAAGAAAGAAAAAATGTGTATGTATGAGCTATGAGGTGAGGCGTTTGTTTCTCTCTCTCATGTCCACAGCTGACGCTGCTGGTGCCAGCTGCACTGCCACAAAACTGAGAAACGAAATGAAAGGAGAGGGGCGGAACGAAAATCGAGGCACCTCTATAAAGAACCACAGCCTACACCTCTGCCTACTTCTCAGACTCTTTTATACTCCCTCCGTTTAAAAAAAATATAATTTAGTTTAACTTGGAACGAAATTTAAGAAAAGAAAAAAGATTTTATAATTATATGATTCTAAACTAAAGTAATGTCAAATGTATTAAAATTCTTTTTAATTTTGTGGTATTAAACATGTTACGTGAAAAATTAAAGTTAAAATATTATCAAAAAAAAAAAGAGATCATTCTTTTGAAACAGAATAAGAAAAACTAGGTTATTTTTTTAAAACGGAGGGAGTAATAATTTATAGATTCTGCTATACGGATTAGTAACTAAGTAGGAGTACTGTTTTTCTTATGAATATCCCAAACAGACTTCAACACATGAATTTGTTATACACAAAATGTACTTTATACGGTCAAAGAAAATAGAAATCACTGCTACATTTTCTAAATAAAACAGAAAAAGGTCAAAAATACTGTTAGACTATTACAAAACATCTAAATATTATGTCTTTCATTCATCTACACATCTACTTTGTTAAAAATATCACTTAATTACTTTCTCTGTCTCAATTTATGTGATATTTTTCATTTTTTGAGAGTCAAACAGTTTAAATTTGATCGAGAATTTATGCATGGAATCTTCAACTTTTTTGAAATGAAATTTATATATTTGTAAACTACGTAAAAAGTATTATAAATCACAATAATTGATAATTCAAAATGTTTAAAAAATCTATAAAATATTTACTATCAAAGATAGACTTATTTGAATCTTCAAATTCGAAAAGTGTCACATAAAATGAAACGGATAGAGTATATTTTTAGCTCACTTATGCTTATGCCCTTTGATTAATAGTGAACACTGAATAATTATTTAAAAAATTCACCTGACATTTTATTATACGATCAATTAAAACTCTTACTCCAATTAGATAAATCCAACACCCAATTTTCTAACTTATCCAACAAAAACTCACCCATTTTTTATTTATATACTCTTCAAAACTATTTTATTATATTCTCTAAAAATTTCTACTATTTAAAAAAATTATAAAAATCTCTACCCCTATTCTCAGGTTACGTGATGTATCGAGAGTGATATATTCAAAATTGAGACGTGATATATCAGAACGTAGAGGAATGTATCAAAAATTGAGACGCAATGAATCGGGACGTTTTGAGATATATTCGGATTCTACCAAATTTAAGTAACTTTTATAATTTAAAAAATAGTAAAAATATAATATAATTAACTCTTAATACTATGAAATTTGCATAAATTTCCAAATTATAATTGTTACAAAGAATTTACTGTATCACAAGTATTTTAAAATTCTCTCCTAAATTAGTATATGGAATGTCTCAAAGTTTTGTATGTATACTCATGGGCATGTGAAAACAAGAAAAAATGAAATTGTTGTTCTCATCTTTATATGTTCCACTAGTCCACTAGCGAAAATAAGACATTTATGGGTACCGGAAGAATATATATATAATGTACACGCCAGTCTCCTTTCACTGGGATCTTCAAAGTATGAGCTCGAACTCCACACAAAAAACGCTCACGGAGTTCTAGAGAGAGAAATTGAGTTCTAATTGCTTCATAGTTATAATGAGTAATTGGTTGGGGTTCTCTCTTACTCCCGATTTCAGAATCGATGATGATGATGAAGAAGAAGTAAAAAATTACGAAAGACGAAACGAAGCTGCTGAAAATACTCCTTTGTCGGTCATGCCTTTAAGCTCTAATGGTTCTCTATGTATGATGGATCCTTTCCCACGCTGTGAACCCACTGAAGGTATCCTACTGATTTGCTCCGTTTTTCCACTGCTAATTCATTTGTTAAAGAGAAGTTGATACTGTAATTTTTTTTTTGTTATTCAAAAATAGATTGTTGGAGGTATGAGAATCATGAAATGAGTACTGCTAATAATCCAGAAGAAGAGGGTCCGAAACTTGAGGATTTCCTTGGATGCTGTTACTCAAATTCTCTTCCTAATGAAGAACAACAAATTGCTGAAATCAACGTTAATATTCCACCCAGCATAAATCAATCTGATCACGAACAACACCAGTTAGAAATTGGAGCGAACATGAAATTGATTCCGTCTCCACAGATGATGATTCAAAATAGTCAATTTCAGAGCTCTCATCATGAGTTTGTGAACTCTACTGATAGTGTCTATCATCTGCCATTTGATGGAGCTACTTCTGTTTCTGGATTCAAATCGTGGTTACGCCAGGCTTCTGCTGCTGCACCATTAATGTCGTCAGCTGAAGAAATTGTAAATCCTAGCAATTGCCAGGCGCTGTCGCTTGCCGCCGCTCCGAAAAAACGGCCGGTAGCAGTTAAAAATGTTAGTGGTTCAAAGGAATCAGTTCCGCGCAAATCCATTGATACTTTTGGGCAAAGAACTTCGCAGTACCGCGGAGTCACGAGGTACAAATTCTAACTCTTTTAAAAAAAAATCTACAATGATTTCTATATTATAGTTATATTTAAGGCTTCTATAAAAATGTTAACGATATTAATTCTAAATCATTTTGAATAATCTTTATTTATTGAAATGGAATTTGACCAAATTAGACATCGGTGGACTGGAAGATACGAGGCGCATTTGTGGGATAACAGTTGCAGAAAGGAAGGGCAAACTAGGAAAGGCAGACAAGGTGTGTAGTACTGCTTCGTGCTCTCACTGCGTTTAGAATAAATAATATCAGTAGCTCAGTTGATGTTCAATGAAAAAAAATTACACTTGAATTTAATTTAAGCATTTTACTCTCGTAATTTTTTTCTTCATGAATAAACTGATTAACTTTTATCTTGTTTTCTTCTCTAATCTTTGCTTCCTCCAACATTCGGATCAATCAGTCTATCTAGGTAATTGACGTTCTCCATCTCTATATTGACTTTTGGGCCTAAAATATATTGTTGACATTTGAAAAAGGAAAATAATGTGAATGTATTATGTATTTTGGACTAATGTTTGTGATTAATTTAATTGTTGGCACTTTTCAATACTACAGGTGGTTATGACACGGAGGAAAAGGCAGCTAGAGCATATGATTTAGCTGCTTTAAAATACTGGGGTCCTAACACGCATATTAATTCCCCCGTAAGTACACTTATGATTTTTATTACAAATTTGTAATTTAAATTGGATGAGCCCTATGCTTTATAATCCCACGATTGAGCCTTTGCATTTTCAGAAATTTGGGTTTGAGACTTGATATTTGTCTAAATTTTAGTGGGTTTTTCATATGCATATTTTAAATTTACGTGCGTAAAAAAAATTTGTTTCAATTGAACATGTTGCACCATCATGCATCTGATGTTGGAAATGACTATTTCATCTAAAAGTTTAAGTTGTTAGAGAAAAGCACATTTATATTATTTAATTATATTATCAACATGTCCCCTTTTTTCTTGTGTTTTGATTGTTGCATTATTTGATTATTGTTATTGCTCCTTGATTACTACTGAATGCTATGGGATGCTTCTAATAATCTGTCCTCTATATTTTTTCTTTTAACGGCTTTGATGTAAGTGCGTTACTCGAGTAAAGGGTCTTTACTTAAACAGTCTTTCTATCTCTCTGAGGTTGGGGTGAGGACTTGTTCACATACTCCACCCTCTCCACACACTTGTTATAAGATTACACTGGGTATGCTATTGTTGTTGTAACAAGTCCCCTCTTTTTCATGGGCAGAACACAACACGTAATTAAAACAATATTATTCTACTTCTCTAATTAATTATGTTGTTATCTTTCATGTATAATGTCAGCTAAATACTTACGAAAAGGAATTAGAGGAGATGAAAAACATGAATAGGCAAGAGTTTGTAGCACACTTGAGAAGGTACATAGGGGAGTAATGTCCCTTCTATTTTCTTCACTAGTCCTCTTTTTCTTTCATCTGTTTGATTGCCTGTTACACTGAAAAAGAAGGAACATACTTGCAATACTATTGCTAAAATTGACCTAGTATGGTATCCCATTTTTATGTTAAAACAGGAAAAGCAGTGGGTTTTCAAGGGGGGCATCAATGTACAGAGGAGTAACAAGGTTCGTAGTAGCATTAAACCAAAAGGGCAACCAACCTTTTTTTACGATTAAAGTTGTTTACCACATTCACTATTTTATTGCTGCTAAATTTGCAGCTTTCTTTGAATGCAATTATCCATGTTCAATAATAGGGGCACAGGCAAACTTTATTATGCATGTGCAATCATATGCAAAAACCAATAAACCATACCTA